GGGAGGAAGGCTTTCCCAATACCATTATACCATCGTTTGTCGTCTGTTCATGTTTTTGTTGTTGTACTGGAGAGCGCGAAGAGCGGTCAGGCATCCCAGAATCAGGCGTTCTATCTACGGAGTTCAGTGCATTGGTGGCTGCTTCGCGAATCGCGATGGCTTTGCCCAACGGGATCTGCGTTTCTTAGACCTATCTACTTGTCGATGTCTGCTCAGTGCGCAAAACTACTAGCAAATAATACCCATGCTGCGAATCTTAAGAATCAAGGATTATCTCTCGTCAGATGCTGTTCCCTTGTGGCCTTGGTTTGTGAAGTAATGATTACTGCCCGATGTGACATGCCGAACGGTGAAGGGTTCTGGGATGAAACCAGCTGCACCTCACCACTAGCAAAACCCCCAATTAGATACTATCCCCTGATGCGCTTTTCTGAGTGGATGAACGAATTTTTTTGCACCCACACTCACATACGTACGCAACCTCTATACCGTCTACTAAGGCAGGGGCTTCGTTAACTACAAGCCGTGCACAGAACTTCATCTCGGTGGCACTGTCCCAGAGTCAGGGTCTCAGTGACACGCTGCTGGGACTCTATGATTGTAACTTGATTCAAATGGGCAGGACATCGAACTGGCCTGTTTGAGAATCGCGATCGTTTCGAACCGGTGCTGTCGGTGAACTTTGGTTTGGGAACACGCTGTTGTGCGATCGCGCGTACACTAGGATTGTAGTCTCCTTGGGGTCTCGTGTCTCAGGCGGAGAGGCAGACGCACATGATGACGCCGTCATTTCGCTGGAGTTGCCCTCGCTGCGGAAGCTTCCGATTAGGACGGTTTCGTTGGGATCGATGGTAGGGTGAAACAGCGGCCTGGCTGCACACCACGTTGCGGAGGACGTTGCCCGGTCCAAAACGTGGTGTGCGCCCGCTGCAAAGGTGCGTTCCTAAGCTTCACGAAACAGTTACCTAAAAGGAGTAGAATCCACGGCGGGAACGTACGGTCGGTCGGCCTTCCACTTCACGGAAGCATGATGCAAGGTCCCACACTCCAGGTCGACACCCAGAACCTTGTGAAAGTGGGGAGCATTTGTTGTAGACATGCAAAGGAAGGCTCCGTGACAAGGGGAAGTTGCGGGGCCTAGAAGTCCTCCAGCTTACGACGCTAATGTCCAACTCTGTGTTGGATAATCGCAGCATCTTGCCCTCTTGATAATCGTTTCGTATCTGCAGGGCGAAAGGGCCTTACGATTCATGTGAAAGCACGTTCCCTACCCCATATCCAGCGGAGAGGCGTTGAGCACATGGCAACCCGTCGAAGCGAAATTCGAGGAACAGTAGGATTGTGCTGCCTGTCGTTTCGTTGCGCTGCTATCACACTGTCTGGTGTAAATACTCGGTGTGCCGCGGACCCTTCCAGCCGTTGAGAAAGCGACCCTTGCCTCCGGGTTTGCAGCAACCCAGGACCATGTCTCCGATATCATACATCTATAATAACAGCAAATATGCGTCCAAAACGTGACACGAGCATCGGAATTAAATGTTGAATGCACAGCGTGATCCACAATACAAATCTCTGGACCGCGCCGTGAATCCGATCCCGAGCTTAGCAGCTTTGTCAAGGGCAGAAGAGGTCGAGCGTGGAGCCAAAGCCCCGGTTCAATTAACCCAAAGGATGATATACCTGGTTGTATATAAGCAGCCTCTTTAAACATCGCCATGCATGCAAGCCATCGCGCAAACTTCTAGACAGAGGGCGCTTAGTGCTCTTCAATCCTCAAGCGAACGCGAGAAATGTGAGAGATGGTCAGGATTGGTTACATCATATTATCCGGATGCAAGGGAGGTTAGTCGCTTATCACGTGTGCGGGCGGCCGTCGATCAAACCTTGGCTCAACATCCGAGCCAGCCTCATCAACGTCCATCTCATCGAGGACGAGAGCCGACTTCGCCGACGTCGTCTGACAATGCCTATCTTAATCATCTAATTCTTCCGTACATCCTATCTGTATCCTTAATTCAGCCGAGCCGCGTTTATGATGATCTTTGCCACGAATGTCGGATTCTTTGTATAACCCCGATGACGGCGCCCTGTTGATACAGCCCTGGGATGAAGCGTTTCGGGTACGTAGCTGATATCACATGATGCCCACGGACATTCACGATGAACGATTGCCTGATTGAGATGAATAGGCTCAGCGCGATGTGGGATTGAGGATACCACTAAACTACCTCACAGTACCAGCAATCTCTCTACAGGGTGCCTGCTTTGCGCACAATCAATATGAGAACAAGGCATTTCAGAAATGCATCTCCAATCTACTGGCATCTGGCTTTCGAAGATATCTAGTCGATGTCTATTGGGATCCGGGTCGTAACGTCTGGAGCCTTTGTCCGGCTCAACTACCTCCTGGTGACGCCGATTCGGACCAGGAACAGAGTCCGTCTGTCTTGACGGTCTCTTCATCTGTCTATGCTGATAGAAGAGGAATTGAGCAGACAAAAGCAACACTGTGGCCGACTGCCTTATCGAATTGGGAAGGCATATTATGGCCTCGCCAAGATGACGTATCATCTTCTTCTGAAGCCGCCTCATCAATTGCAACATCCACAACACCATCGATACCCGTCTCAACTGGGGCGTCTACTTTGACTTCGTCGAATATTCGCTCTTCTCCATCACCTGTCACCACATCAGCCCCGCTCCCATCATTCTTAACTTTTCCTACGGACTACGATGCTCCGCTTGTGGAAGTTGGATCCTACAATTGCACGATATTGATGACACTGGATTTCCTCACTGGTATTCTCGAGGACTTTATGAGTGATACAGATACTACTACGGATGCATCTGTCAACTACTTCTTCATCAGTGTACATGCTGCGGCTTCCTACAATACACCTAGCACTCCTGCTCAGCAACCTCCATCCGATCAGCTTCCTGGGGAAGGCAATCTACTCAGCGACATTGTCAAAGGCAATTTGTCTAGTGTACTCTTCACGCCATCAGATCTGCAGGGCGAACGCAACAACCTGAACGATTCATGGTACGATGTTCATTTAGATGATCTTCCTTTGTTAGGTTATTACACCACCTCCACGAACTCAGACGGCAACGAGGTCTCGGACGATGGGTGGCCCAGTGAAGCATACGCAGAGTTCAAGAAGTTCTGGCGTCTCGTCGCTAGCTTCTTAGATGTCGATCCGCAAATGTCTGGGTACAACTTGTCGGCTGACTTTGACACCATCTTTCCACCTGACGAGATACGGCTGTTACACAACGTCACCATTAGTCCTTCTGGGGGCGTCACTTCAGGTTGTCTCTTCAAGCCATCCGACGTCACCATCACCCCCGATACGAACTCGTCTTGGGCAGTTGGCCTGATACCCAGTGTCAATATCGGTCGCAACCCAGACACTACAATACCAATAGCTTCCGTGGCCAACCTCACCCAATGTGGTATATCTCCCTTCATCAACTCATCAATCTCGAACGTAACAGCGGACGAAGATCCAACACCATACCTAGCATACACACACTCAACCCTCTGGTCGTGGCTACCAGGCGAACCACTCAACACCACAGACGCCTCAAGCGACAACTACGTCAGCAAATGCACAGTAATGACCACCGACTCCCCCTACCCCGGGCGCTGGAAAACAGCAGACTGTCAGACTCGCAATCGCGTAGCTTGTCAGCACACCGAACAGCCCTATAACTGGACCATCTCCACAACAGAAATGGACTATTTTGATGGCGAATCCGGCTGTCCATCTCCGTACACCTTCAGCGTTCCCCATACCGCAATAGAGAACCAGCACCTTCTCTCCGTGCTGCAGAATCCGTCTGCTCAGCCATCGGGGTCGTTCTCGAATGGCCCTATCTTTGTCAATCTGAATTCGATTGATATTGCTGGATGTTGGGTTACGTCTATCAACGGAACGTGTCCGTACGTTCCCAGGACGGACAGTAATAGGACCAGAATCGTGGTCATACCAACAGTGGCGGCCGTGATTATCTGTGTGTTAGCTGCGCTAACGTTCTTCGTCAAATGTGCTGCGAATAGAAGAGAAGGGCATCGGGCGAGAAGGAGGAGGAATGTTGGTGGTTGGGACTATGAGGGCGTGCCCAGCTAAGGTGAAGGTAATATCACTCTTCGTCTTGTACTGAGTTGCGCGATTGCTAGATTCTTGAGAGATGCGCACACTGGGTAATGGAAGCAATAAAGAGAATGCGGTACGCTAAGGATCGGACCTGGGTCTCTCACCGGCAAGGCCAGCGCCAGCAAGTACCGGCGCTGACACCAGTGAGCATTGTTACCACTGAACTACGTACCCTTCGATCTTGTATTTGTTGAGATGGAAGGCCTGTGTCATATATATTTCCATTGTAATCGTTACGGTATTGGGATACACCATTTGGGAAACACCATTTAGAATAAATATGTTTATGAGAATCATCCTTGGATACCTGAAGTTGAAGCGAACCGACGAGAACATGTAAAATGCAGGAAAATACGCAGCACCACCCGAAGCACAAAGGGTCAGAATATAATATACTACCCTTATACTGAGAGAGACAGACTGGTGAATTCAAAATGCTTGGGGTCGCGCTCTCTCTCTAGACACCTATCTGCAACCATATTATAACCCTGCTTCAGGGTACGCCGCCAGCCCAGTAGGACTTTGTCAGTCCTACTGAAGACCTCCCAAGCTACCTCTCCCGTAATCTATCACAGTTTATCAATCAACTATCTAAGCAGAACAGAAATCGAACCTAGGCTCTCGCAATATCAACTTGAACTCAGGAGATTATCGATCGATAGGCGTAGCCATTGTGTGTTTATACCACGAACCCACATACCCTCTAAAATTTTATCGTGAGTCTATGGCATACACACCTCTAATTAATCATTACTTCTTCCTCATACAAGCACCCAGAACATCGAGGTCTCTCAATAACACCTCGTCAGCGAGTATTACAAAAGGCAAAAAAGAGAAGTGAGTGTACGCCAGGAGTCGAACCTGGGTCACGGTCAAAGGGACCGCCGCTCTGGCCACTGACCTACGTACACTGTAAGGTTGTCGATTGTGCGGATTCAAGGATTAATAGGTATATCATGATCTTCATAGCTGCTTCTCCTACGTTGTGTTCACACTGAAGCACTTTTGTTGTGTAGACTGTTGGGCAGAACGGACGAGAGGGAGAGATGGATGAAAAGAGGAAAGACCAGAATTACACAGAGAGGACGCGAGTTGGGGGTTTCCTGGAGTAGGATATCTCGGTTCGTGTCTGGAAGGGATATGTGCTACGAATGGGACTTGTTCGCGTCGTGTGAACTTGCCGGTGTAAGCTTTGCGTTCAACATAGCTGTGCAATTGGTCATACCTAGTAGATGCAATTCCCATTTTGGATCTGTGAGCTGGTTTCCCAGGGATTTGGACACAGGAAGGAAAGTCAAGGGATACTAAGTTTGACAAATCGAGAGCAGAAAAGGGAACGATGATACATTATAGTCATTAAGCACTGGAAAGCGAACCACAGAGCCAGCGCGGCTTGCAGATACCCAAATGAATCCAACAATACAACGCAAGAACCCAAGAGTCCATAATTTGCAGAACAACAACCGCCCCCATTACCAATCAATGAATACCCTAAGTGTAAATGGACTCAGTCCACTGGTTAACTTGTAACCCCTTCTCCGCCATCTCTGCGTTCTCCAAGAACTTCAACGGCATCCAGACCAAATGGCCCCTGATCTTATCCAACTCCTCTCTGACCTCCTTCACTGGCCTGTTCTTATCATAGAGATGACCTTGCTTGTGCTCATTATCATTCTTCGGATTCGGAGTGAACTTGTCGTAGTCTTCGAAATTGAGGATGCCATCGTCAGGGTCAGCGTGGAACAAGTCCCGGAAGATCTTGGTGTTGGTAGAAGCAGAGCTCGTCCACTGGTCCCACAGCTTATCGGACAGCGGGTCGGAGACGAAGTCGAATTCAGGGCCTTCGAGGTTGTCATTTGGCGAATCCGGGCTTGGTGGTTGGGCGTTAGGATCATCAGAGCCATCGAGAGACTGAGGTGGGATGAGGCCCATGTGCTCACGCCAGAGCATACTCCTCAAAGTATGCGCGTGCCTGCCAGCTTTGAAGGGCTTACCATCCATTGTTATCTCGACCTTGTCAGTATCGTACATAACGATTGAAAGCTCAGAATCGTGATAACCCAGTTGTGACCGATCGTTGATGTTGGAGCTTCCACAGATGACGTACTTATCATCGACGATGCAGACCTTGGCGTGGATGTAGAGCTCCTCCTGGAAGAAATTCTCCTTCTCGTCCTCAGGATCACCTTCCCATAGCTCCGTGCTGGGCTTCTTGTCCGTCAACATAGCGTCGTCTGCGATGGAATCTGGATCAATGATTCCTCCTTGGTCGCCCTTGCCCACGTCCTCCGCGTCGCCCTGAAACCTGCGTCTCAAATCGGCAGCTTTCTCGCGCGCCTCGAGGCCGCCGCCCTCTGATGGCGCTTCAAATTCATCCTCTTCCGCTTTCTGAAGATCGACGTATTTTAGGCCAGACTTTTCTTCCTTTTCTTTGAGTGCTTTGGTCACGTTGAGACGGTCGTATGATCGTAGATTGAACAAGAAGATATGGTCTCTGGGGTTGACACCCTTTGCCTCTACTTGTCCAAAAATGCTATCCTTGCCTCGGCAGATACTCTTGTACTGGTAATCCATGATGGCCCGGGTTCCGCTCGCTGCGTTTTCTCGAAGATCGCCTGCAAATCCGGGTATCGCTGGAATGAGAATGATGACTCTAAACTTTCGGCCCTCCTGACCAGCACGGACTACGGCATCAACAATGGCACGACCTATCTGGTTGTGAACCGGGCTCTGGTTCTCGCCTGTCGCGGTGATGAAAAACTGGTTCTCGATATACACATAGTGCTCCGCGCTCCGAATGAGGTCACAGTACGCAGTTTGAATGCTGTGTTCTGCTGGCAGAATGCCGCTACTCCAGTCCGCGCTGCTGCGAACAACCTGTGCATGTATCGTGCCGCGGTTATCGAGATTTTTCGTGCTCAGTGGGTTCAGTGGGTGGTGGATATAGTCCCCAACTGGAAACTTCGGTCGTTGGACACCGATGAGATCCTCGTCATCTCGCCCACGGCCTTCAAGGGTAAGCCAATCGTACCGGTCATCACGCTTGTACTTGTCTCGCTTGCAGAAGTTCCATCGAAGGACGAAATGCTCTGCGATGTCGTATACGCAGGGTCCGATCACGCCCATAGCGACGTCGTGCCACGGCATACGACCATACTCCGCCTTGCTGAGCTGATTCGACTTCCAGTCATCGACACTCTGGAAATCCATGATGCGGTTATTGTTGAAGTCTTGTCCAGGGAAGAGTTCGTTTTGGGGACCAGATGGATGAACATCAGCCAAAGGATGCTGCTTCTCGTCCCAGCGACCATAGCAGAGATCCAAACCTCCAATAAAGGCCATGGCATAGTCGATGACGATGAACTTCTCGTGATGAGCCCAGTAAAATGTCATATCGCCAGCGTTCTCGAAGACATTGTGATCCGGGTGTCTCATGACCTTGATGTTGCCATAACCTTTCTCTCCTTCTTTGATCATACCCATCAACGCCCTCTTGGTATGCTGACTGTTGCACGTCAGAGCAGCCGATACCTCCTTGTACACGACGATATAGATCTTCACGCCTTCCTGCGCTTTCCGCTTAAGGATCTGATCTAACCGCCATTCCTGGTTGTAATAGGGAGGGCGTCGCAAGAAAAGCTCAGGTGAGAGCCACCAATCTTCAACGTATATCGTCTCCTTCGCCTTTTCCAGTGCTACGGATACAGCCTACGTCTCCAATAAGCAGGAAGCAGAAGCACGTGCTCCGTGATTGTCTTACCCAGAAGTAGTCCCTGCCATCGACATACCACTTGATCAGATTGCCATCACGCTCAGGTGCGAATGAGTTGAACCGATGGTTTTCGCAGACCTTGCTGCGCTTCTCATCCGTCTTTTGCTCGTGCTCTTCGTCATGACGATGATTCGTATTGAAGAGATTTGCAAACTTCCCAACTTTGTTTTTGGCGTGGACCGCCTTGACCTTCGCATCATAGATATGAGTGTCCTTCAACTTCTCGCGCAGGTGTGGAAACGGATGCGCGACTTTGTCCTTCAGGCTGCGATGCCCCGCCGCACCATCTGTTTGCGTATCCGTCATATTGGATATTCAGGGCCAGCTGGCGAATGCAGACGAGGAAAAATTGACTTCCTCGCGAGCGCAGCGACTTGAAGAAGAAATACTGAGCGCGCGGGGTACCGGAGGAAGTGGGCAGGGTTCGTATAAACCTGTATCCACGATACTTGGCAGCTGTTGCACGGTTCGGCGTGATTGTGCGGAAGGGACGCTTGTCAGCCAATGACGCACGCCAAGCCCCATTGGGCTGGTTCTGGTGCTGTAGACTATATCTCCTCCTCCATAACGGGACAAGGCTGAGATGCTTCATAGCCCTTTTTCTACCTGAAAAAAGACTGACAAAGAGCGAAATTAGACTCGGAATTGTGCTGGAGATATTCAGGATGCCAGCCCTGTTACATACGAGCTGATTGCATCTTTTGAATCGGGTTGATGCTTTGCATGAGCATCAGATCTCGGATATCGTGCCGAACCTTGCACGCATAAGGCTTGGGAGGTCAAGGGTGGGAAGATGCTAGGATGGGAAAGAAGCCTGGCTGTATTTGAGCATATGGGATCCGTGCATTCCGTGTCACTCAGTACACTCACTAAATTCAGTGCTGTTTGAATAAGATTTTAGAACCCGCACATAATGTAGGCGGCTTGGAGTTCCCAAGGCTGTCGATGCCACTGCTACACGTCATATGGAGTGAGTTAAGCACGCTGATAGTAGTTCCTGGACTACGTTGAGAATCTGCGATATGAGCAACTACAAGATACGAGACAGCACACTTCCGCATATAGGATATTTCGAATGCTGACTTCGTTCTTGCACCCGAAAGCAGGATGAGACAAGCTTTTCGACATCTTGGCAGGTAGCACGTGACCGGGGCTGGATCGTGCACCAGGCACAACTTCGGCGTTGAACTGGAGGGGCAGCGTCAACCAAAATCTCGTCATCGCTTCAAAGTCTCACACACACGATAAGCTATGTCCTACCATTGTCTAGAAGGCACGTTCCGCTAGTTCTATCCAGTAGAAACGCCTTGATCATTCAAATAAGGTCTTACTATAACAGTTCCTTTACCGCCCTAGGATAGGTCTCACATCGTTGACCTCTTTTTCAGGTCCCGAGAGCATTACGTTGAGGAGCAACGCCTCATACTCATGCATTAGGACCTCAATGCTTCTTTTATCAAAAGCCTGGGGATCATATGATGCCGTCGCCTTGATACCGCTAGCAGCGACAACCAATCTGATCCAAAAAGGCACAGGCGGTGGGGTACTCTCCCTCGACCGCTCTAGTTCCAGTCCTATATCGCGTTCTACTACTCCGATGGGTTCATCGAGAACGACGACGTTAACAAGGTAGGCGGACTTGCAGGCCATATCAGCCTCTGGGCTAAGCTGGCGGATTGCGCGCCAGCTCGTAAATTGTGCGTCGATCATGCTGGAGAGGTCGGCCTGAATACCCTGGAAATACTGTCCAAGATTTTGGTTGCCGTCAACACGAACTCGTAGTGGGTGCCGGGTAAGAACAGGCGCGACCATATCCTCGATACTGATGACTGAACAGTCACGACCCGTACGAATGAGATGAAAGATGACATCTGGCGAGGCACTAAGGGACCCGAGCAAGACGGCCAGAGTACCGTAAATCATGGTGCTCAATGTGACGCCAGGATGGCCATTTTCAATCCCCATAAGAGGAATCCAATGTGTCACTGCGGCGGCTGCTGAGTATGCCGGTGTTGGGGAAGAAATTAGAGCCCAGGCAGGCTTACAGCTTACTCCGTGTAGATGTTCGCGCCAGAAATGAAGGGAGACCCTGTCGTCAATCTGATCCACATGCTTGATCATTGCGCGATAGTCAGCAGG